CCCCCAAAACCCCAAAACCCCAAAACCCCATTCAAAAAGTAAAGAATAGAATAATATTTTATAAAATGGTTATCTCCAATTACTCTGGAAGACTGGTAAAGTATCTTTTTACATGAGTTATTTTCCTTCTGGTTGCAGCCCCATGCTATGCTGACCTGACTCTGGTGACATCGTCAGATTTCATCAGAGTTTATGACTCTAATGATAACCAAACAAGGAATATGATCACTGAATTGGAGATTGCTGGGTTTAGAAATTATCCTTTTTTCTCAACGAATACAACAGTACCTGGAAGAGCATGCTATTTATCAAAAGATACTCTTACAGTAGAAAATTTTGAAGATAGTTGTTTATCCAAAGTGAGTGGCTCTGAGGATTATAATTGGGTTATTATTATCAAATTTGATACAGAGAATTTCCTCTCCGTTTTGAATACCATTTATAAAGACCTCCCTCTTGTCAAATCTGTAATTTTCTCCTATGAAGGTACGCCTCATATTCCAAGTCCTGCACCAGACAAGACTTCACCAGAGATAATTTCTTTTGGAAGAGGAATTGATATTAGAGAAATTAATCTTTCCAAGTACTCCTTTCCAAGATCTGATGAGTATTTCATAGAGCATTCTCACAAATATACAGAATTTTGTGAAGTCATGAATCCATCTTTTAAATTCTACTTAATCGCAATTGCAATATGGGGTCTGATAACTGTTTTCCACATTCTTTGGACATGGATCTTGAGGAAGGATTACTCCAAGCACCTTCAAAAGATTCTCCTATTCATTCCTGTTTTCTTTGCTGGTTACACTCTGATTGATTATGTATTCTTTCTGTCATGCCCTTGGGATACTAAGAATGGTGTTCAGTACCTCCAGATAATTCAGATTGCCTTGGTAACTATTTTCAACACTTTATTCGTGGGTCTTTGTTGTTTCATCAGTAAAGGATGGGCAATAGTCAGAAATAGTTTTACTAGAGAAGAACTTAGCTCAATCACAATGATAGTTGGAATCTTTTATCTGGTATACAGTGCATACTTTATTGCCTCCGATATCTCATCTCTACGAGTGATAATAACAGTTGTATTGATAATAATGTACTTGTGGGTAGCCCTGACCTGACTGAAAAACTCCATAGCCAACATCCGTACTCTTAACTCGCATATTTCAGGGACTGGACCAGATGAAGTAATTTTAGATTCCTTAAAACTGAAGAAATCAATAATGGTACACTTTTGTATAATAACCTTGTTGTTCTATCTGAATAAGATAATCCACAGTGCTTTAAAGACCTTCCTTAAGGAAAATTCAACAGTGAGGAATGTTATCATTATTAACTTGTTCTTGGAACTATTGATCATTTCCTACTTCTTGTTGATTTTCAGGGCTAGAAAATGGCCAGAATACTTTAGGTAAGTAATGACTAATGACTGGAGGTTTCCAGGAAGAAAGAGATTAAAGGAATAGAGAGAAATTTTGAGTATAATCAATTCAATTTTATGTCTTTTTCTCAACTCTTATGTTCAGATTAGATATATCTCAAACTATTCTTGCTTTAAGACTTATAGAATGTCTGATTTTTAAGAATCGCCTTCACTTATGCACATTTATTTCCTAAATTTTAAAGACAATGCTTAATGCTTATTTATAGCCTAGATATCTTTTACCAAAGAATTGGCAATGGAGAAAATGATCAGGCTGTTCCCAAGAGTATTATCCTCAGCGCAGTAGTATCCTCACAATGGATCAACCAGCCTGGAAACAGAGATTATGGGAATAAAGACATTATGGTCAATGGTGAAGAAGTAGAATATTTAGGAAATGAACAATACAAAGAGCCTCAAGTCGCTGTTCTTGTAGATGCTTCTGATAAGGAAAATCATAAATTGCTAAAGTTATTGAGAGATGAAGAGAACCTCAGTGACGATGAGGAGATTTAAAAGCATCCTAAAGAATTGTATTAGATACTTTTCTTAAAGGGGTTTTGGGGTTTTGGGGTTTTGGGGTTTTGGGG